CATCGCAAAGATTTCCTATCTTGAATGGTATTAATACCTGTTTCCTTACAAGAGTCGATTTCTGATACTGACGCTTCCTCAACCAAGCTACCTCCAAACATCGTCAGCTCACTAGGAATTTGCACTCCCTTTACAACTATTGATTTAGATCTATAATTTAGTATAGCACGCGTCTTCGTCAACCAATCATTGCCCAATATCACCTCAGAAGTTAAACCTGGGACCACATAAAATATTTGCTCATCGCAAAGATTTCCTATCTTGAATGGTATTAATACCTGTTTCCTTACCAGAGTCGATTTTAATCCAATTGCCGTAACTATATGCATGTTTGAAACTGGTAATTCCTCCAGAGTAACATGGTTTGCTAATAACCGGTAAAAATACTCAGATATACAACTAATTTGACTGCCTGTGTCTACCATTGAGGAATAAATATACTGGCCTATTGTGATTAGTAAATGTATACATTTGTTTCTTTTAATTTTAGACTCAATTATCCTACTATTTCCTCCTTGAAGGTCCTCTTCTATTTCAGTAATAAAACTGTAATCATAGGTGTGGCTAGATGGACCGCTACTCCCCACACCCACTAACAGTTTTCCGAATTATGAGTATTAAATTGATTAATTCCTTTTGATTCACCATGATTTGGCGGTGGAAATCTCATATCCGGTAGTACTAAATCGCGATTGTTTTCTTTACGATTATATGGTTCGTTTCGCTTTTTAGAATAACCTCTATTATATCGACCAGTCCAACTTCGCTTACTATTATCATCGTGATGATAGCTAGATTGTGACTGTCCTGCCTCAATTACACCCATAGTATTTACTTGTCGACGCGTCTTGTCATTATTACTATCTTTATTATTTATACTTTTGTATCGTTCATTCTCAATTTCACGCGACTTGTCTAGTTGCTCTAAAGCCTGTATCAATATGGTTGTATCTGCATAATCTACTGTAGCGAGAATCTCCCGAACTCTCATTGGCAATTGCTGAACAATTGTATAGTGCATTTCATAAACACCTAAGCGTGGACATAAATATTGTGCTGCTCGCACCTGATCATAAAAATATGCAAGTATACTGCCATCTGATAACTTATAACGCCGTTCTTGCCATCGAGTTTTTATGCGTATTCTTACTGGAATAGAGTAAAATTCCGCCTCAAATTTATTAACAAAATGTTGAAAATTTCTAAAATCATCTCTATGTATCGTGAACCAGTTTAACGCTCTTCCCGCTAAGCATGTTTCTACTATTTTAAGTTTACTCTCCGGCGGTACATCTCTCAGCCTACAATATCGTTCAAGCTCGTGTAAAAACTGCTGAGGATTTGTAAGTCCGTTATCCGAGAATTTTGGCAACGCTATTTCTACCTTATTACTTCGAAATTGCTCTACCAGTCGTTCCATTATTGTTACACTAGAATCATTGTCATTGGCCGTACCTTCACTACTGATTTGACTTCCCCTCGCCTCAAGTAATGTTAG